TATCGACTACCTCATAATATCGTCTCGAGTGTGCTGATAGAGGCGACAGTACGAAACACACTAAGTTATGAGCAGCAGCATCTTCCTAATAACAACTAGAAAATAAAAAAATGGTTGTTAACTCGCTTGGCAAAAGTGATGGCTATGGCAATTATAACCCTTATGAGAGAATTAATGAGAAGGTATTGAATGATTTCCTACATTTACGCGATGACTACACATTAAATGAAACTATTTTTTACAGATTTTATGGCGTTTAGTTTAACCTTTTAATTTCCGAGGTTTCGGGTGCTTTACAGCACCCACGGTCATGGTCAACTGTCATGGTCAACGGTCAACTGAGGTGTTTGACGTCCTGATTTCATAGTTAGCCAGGCTACCTTCAGTTTTTGAATATTAATTTTTGGTCCGATCTACGAAGAATGAGCTCACAGTATCTTGAAGTCAAACAATTCTTTAGCTTTCCTGGATGTGTTAGTCATCCGAAATCTCGATAACACTATTGGTCACACTGTGTATAGGAAAAAGACCCATACCAACCTATATTTAAATGGTGAATCGCACCATCATCCATCACAGTTAGCTACTGTGGGAAAATCTTTGTTTCAGAGAGCACGAGAGATCTGTGACAGAAAACATCTGGCCGCCGAGCTTCAGCACGTCGGGCAAGTGTTGCAAGACAAAAAGCTTCGGGTCCCGCGCCTACGTCACAGTGACCGAGTGAAGCCGACCACAGTCGAGCGTGTGCCTGCTGCACTACCCTATGTCAGAGGAGTCACAGACGAGGTTGGCTACATTTTGAAGCGAGCTTCTATTAAAACATACTTCAAGCCGCCGAAGAAGATTAGTAGATTTTTACCATCCGTCAAGTGTAATATTCTTCTACAAGATGCAGGAGTGTACAAGCATCCATTAAAACCCGCGTGAAAGAACATATAGCTGAGGTGAAGCACCGACGCTCTGGGAAGTCTGCACTCTGTGAACATGTTAAAGATCGCCCCCGCCGTTACATCAGATTTGATAGACCACAAATCCTCGTAACAGAACACCGATTCCTACCAAGGATGATTCGCGAGGCTATTGAAATTAATAAACATCCTAATTTCAATAGAGAAGATGGATGGGTGTTATATTATTAATAAAATGAAATCCAAACTTTAATTTTTATATGATGGATTAAAATTTTAAATCTAGCAGGCTTGTTACATGGCTGTTAATGATGGATTGTAATATCAATTAGAGAAAATCTCCAATGTAGTTTCATATGATTTACCACTAACAGGCAAGCTATCAATCAAATGTAAATGCAAAAAATCAAAAGGATTTTTAAAAAACATAATTTATGTATTAATGATAGTCCAGTGTCTTTCGCTGCATTTTTTCCGTCAAAGACTGGATCGTTCAATATAGGCAATTTTATGGAATTGTATGTTGTATTGTGGTCTTATTGATTTGGACTTAACAATTTAATAAGTGTCTTTCGTGTCATCAACATTTTCGAATTGATAGTCTGGTAATTGTAAGTTAAGAGATATTTCTTGATATTTTTTGAAATTAAAGGGGATCCGTTACGCAGAGAGAGGCCGCGGAGGAAGGCACGACTTGTGTTCTTGGTGCACCTGAGAAGGAAAAGGGGGAGTAGAAGTCCTCCCTGAGGAGGGGCTGCCATGAAGCGGCCGGTGCTGATGGGGCTGGGGATGTGTGCGAAAGTGTTCCCGTGGCCCTGCCAATATGTGGCGAAGGTGAAACACCGACATAACCTGTCTTTGCCCCCGCGAGCAAGAAACACAGCGTATGCGTATGGGTATGCGTAGGCATTTCCTCGTGTAAAAAAGGTGTCCATGGACTCGAGTAGCCGCTTAACTTTAGGTGGGCTGTCCGTTCGATTGTCACTTCAGTTTAAAATAAAAACACATATTTTATGAAAAATTTGCAAAAATTGTAAAAATTTAAGAGTTTTGTAAATAACAGGAAAAATACAAAAAATTACCAATGTACCAAAGAAGCTACTATGTTCGTTGTTAATTTTCTGAAACACTTAAGTCCATTCTCATATCGTAGCAATCTATTCCACGTTTTATAATTTGGCGTGTTATAAAATTCCTGATAATATTTATTTCACTACCCTAATTTGATAATTTTAAATTATACCATATAATTTTTATAGTAAAAAACAAGTTGTATGCTATAATACAATTTGCTGTTAACAACTAGTGCAGTAATAATATGCTTAATAGATCGATATATTTCATTTCTCATGAATAAAACGTAGTAGATACTCGTAATGTGTTTAAACAAAGTTTACAAGTTATTCCGTAAAAGATGTATGCAATAGGTTATATGAGAGTGCACTGGTTTCAATTTTCTAGCGCAATCCCCGGTGTGCGTTAACAAGAATTTGAAATAGCACTTGTGAACTTCGCAGACCGCAATAGAAAATGTGCTCTCCTCATTATGTCTATGCTGCAATGCAGTTACATTTGTTGTATTATAGTCTCCAAAAAACATGTAATATGTCCTGACAAAACAAGATACGTTCTACTATTGGAAGTCTGTTGTTAGAAGTTATGTTACGTATTCTTAAAGATAGACTTGCATAATAGATCTATAAAGTGAATGATAATATCATACTAATTAAATTTAACCACGACGATAACATTCGAATACTTTGAAAAGCTATCTAATATCTTTTTTATAGAATAGGGGTGACAAACGAGCACACAGTCCACTTGATAGTAAGTGGATGCTGTAACCCATAAACATCTACATTTATCCTCAATTAAGAATCAAAATGCAGATGCGTTGTCACCCGTGAGGACTAAGATGGAATGCCTCCTTTCCAGCAAAAAGGGTCTCCGGTTCTCTACACTCACCGTACGAAACACAGCAGCATTAAACTGCTATTTTACGCTGGTATTCTGTAAATGCGTGGTTCTTCTTTATTCGAGCCGACCCATTCGTGCTACAATTACACAATTAATATAGCTGCGGCATGGCTCTACCACGTTTAATCAGCAATAAGTAGTGTTAAGCACAATAAGTTCAACGCAGCTACCTATACCGAACCTACGATACGACCATGCCGTAATACATTCCGGTCATAACCATACTATTCTGAAACGTGATGAAAATATGGCAGTCTCACCGTGTACTTAAATAATTACTGCTACGGATGGAATCACGACACGGATTAAACCAAAATTTCTATTTATCCATGGTTAGGTAAACAGCTAGACAGACAGTTAGTATTTATCTAGAATAGACGTAAACCTATACTAGATTATCTTACAAAGATGATGAAGATGTATTCTACACCTATCAGTTGGGTGACAATATTGAAGTGATTAAGCCTAATGCTAAGGTCTTGTGACGATTCCACCATATAATTTATCTAACTAACTAAACTTGTCAAATTTACCCTGCCATATATATTAATCGCAAATCAAAGTTCAGTGTTGAATTCGCCACTAATGCTAATATCGTTTACCTACATATAATCTATAATATATATAAAATAATGACCCATCATAAAGCAAATTTATTAAAAATATTTGTAGTGTTATGCTACTTACATATCATTTTACATTATTTTAAATTCATTTTTCCATTCTGTTTCGATTTTTTGCATTCACCTCAAAACTGGATATTTTACATCACCTTTATTTCCATAGGATCCTGTAACGATTTTAAACCATAAGAACACAATAACAAATCATTTTTACTTCGTATTTTCACACTATCAGCACTTTTAAATTGGTGTCAATGGAGTCTACCTTTTTCGATCTTTTATTTAGTTTTCCGTAACTCTGCAATTTCGGGCTATGTGTGCGCAGGTGCGCTACCTTTTTTCCTATATCAATAATATCTCATTTTTCACTTAAATTTTGCCGTTTTTCTATTACGAGCCTATTGACATGTTTTGACATCGTTGTTTATCTGGTTGTATATTCAAATTCGCTACCGGTCTGTTGTTTCTACTTCGATAATTCCACATAAATACTCTTTCCTCTTAGCCATTTACAAAAAAATTCGTTTAATTTAAATAATTTTTCCGTTCTCTCTAAAAAAGTATAAAAGCCGAACAATCGGTCAAGAACGTCAGTCTCGCTTCAGTTCTCAAATTCGAAGCATCTCCTAAAAGGCCTTATCCCGGGGCCGCACTGCCCCGGGATCCTGCAAGCCTCTGTCCTGCCTGAAGCCGCTGGATCCTACAAGCCTCTGCTCTGCCTGAAGTCGCCGAATCCTGCACGCCTCTGCTCTGCCTGAAGTCGCCGGATCCTGAAAGCCTCTGTCCCGCCTGAAGTTGCCGGATCCTGCAGGCCTCTGTCCTGCCTGAAGTCGCTGAGGATCCTGCAAGCCCCTGTCTTGCCTGAAGTCGCCGGATCTTGCAAACCTCCGCATTCACCTGAGGTCGTCGCCTAGAGACGCCCACACCTTCACCTACGCTGTGCGTGCTCGTTCCAGGCGCTGAGAGCACTTACTGTACACCTTGGATCTTCGGGCTCAACTTCAACACTAATCCTTTTTTTATTATCTTTTTTTTTTAAATAATTGTAAATCACGACATCCATCCTCATCTTCATACTCCATTTTGTTATATAAAATTGTAAATATCTTTTAAATTTTAAATATATTATTTGTTTTTGTTCTATTTTTGTTGTTTTGTTGCTGTTAGGTTAGATTCCTTTTTTGTTCTTAATTGTCGCTTTACGACATTTTGGCGCCCAACGTAAAAGTTCTCTTTCTCTTTTCTTCACCTTTACTGCGCCTTGTCCATTCCCTTTTGATTTAATTGCTTTCTCTTTCGTTCTTAACTCTTTATTTATTCATCCTTTTCATAACTTCCAAATTCTAAAACAACACTTCATCTAGTGTTTCAACTTATCTATATTATACAGGTTGGCCCATAAGTCCCTTGAAATGTAAAAAAATAATTAAAAAAACACTAATGACATTATGAAAAAGGTTTTTATTTTGTCATAATCCTTATAAAATGGGAATTATTTTTTGAAAATTACATCATCTAAATGTAATCCGTTACGATCGCGGCACTCCTGTAAGCGACGTTTAAAATTATCCATCACTGCGTGGCAAGTAAGCTCTGTAATGTTTGCCATTTCTCTTTGGATATTTTTTTTCAGGACGTCAATTGTCCGCGGGTTGGTTTCGTACACTTTAGTCTTAAGATAACCCCATAAGAAAAAGTCCATTGGGGTCAGATCTGGACTACGTGGTGGCCAAGGAATATCTCCTCTTCGAGAGATCACTTTATTAGGGAAAAGTTGACGGACGACCGGCATAGCGACGTTAGAGGTATGGGCAGTTGCTCCATCTTGTTGAAACCAGGTCCGCGTATTGAAGCCTGGAAAATTCTGCAACTCTGGTGTAAAAAAGTCCTGGATCATAGCTACATACCGTTGTGAAGTAACAGTAAGCGCGCGGCCTCTGCCGTCCTCAAAAAAGTAAGGGCCTATAATGCCATGCGCTGACATAGCCGCCCAAACTGTCACTTTAGGGCCAGTAGCGACAATTTTGCTTATTGACATGGCCGTTGATGTGAAAGTGAGCCTCATCAGAGAATAACACGTTATTAAACGAAGTAAAGCGGTTCAACATTTCATTTGCGAAATTTAGTCTGTGGATAGTGTCAGTATCTTTTAATTCCTGTACTAACTGAATCTTGTACGGGTGAAGATGTAAATCTTTCTTTAAAATTCGCTGTAACGATGTTCTGGGTAAGTTTAATGCACTGGAACGCTTACGAGTAGACTGGGTAGGATTTTCACGAATTGAGTGTTTCACTACATCGATGTTTTCTTCCGTCCGTGATGTCCTTGGTCGACCTGACCGTTGTTTATCCAACGTCGAACCACTCTCTTCGAACTTAATAACCCAGTTCTTAATCGTTTGAACACTTGGAATGTCTTTAAAGTTGCGTAAATTCTGATATTCTCGAAATTTACGCCGCGCAATGGTAGCCGAATCATTGTTTCGATAAAACTTGCGCACACAAAATGCACGGTCCGCACCGGTGAAACGCTCCATGGCGACTGAATTCCCAGAAACCGTCGGTACTCCCCACGCACCGCGCGCGCCACTCATACGCGCCTTTTGTATTTTATTCGAAATTTACATTTCTAACGACTTATGGGCCACCTGGTATTTAGACCTACATTTAACACTTCACTTACATTCATCACTTTAATATTTTTATTCTAGATAACTTAAAGAGGTATAATTTTTAATTAAATTTTTATTTCTTAAACTTAACTTTACACTTAATTATAACAATGAAAAGGATTATTAAGTACGAATTCCTTAACAAGGCCGAACTCGAATACGAAGTGAAGATTAGATGTGAGGAACCAGCTAATACTGTTTTGCTTTTAAAAAAACAGGTTTTGCGTTTAGTTGCGAATTCTCACCCTGAAGATATTCTGACTTCTCCAATTCCGATCGCGGATGACTTGTCTCAAATTGATTCTAGTTTGACCTACCTGGACTGTAAAATTAAAAAATGTTTACAAGGTGAAACCAAATACTTGCGACTAATAGAAACTTTTAATAATCATGTATTTTACAGATTGGATCGAATAGATACTGACTTATATCCAGACTTTAAAGCTATTTTCGATACTTTGATGATGAAATTTGACACTATTACTAAACAATTCGAATCCTTGACTCTACCTTCAACTGAAAATGACTCTCAATCACTTGACCCTCCTGTTGACCCGACTGCCATGGAACTCCCTCTTGTTTCTCAAACTTCTGTTCAGGTCCCTACCCCGTATCCTTCACCACCACCTCAATCTTTTTCTCCTAATAACGTCTTCAAAGATCTGAAAAGACACACCTTCAATGGTAAAAGCTGTCCAAGATCCTTTCTTCAAAAACTTGAAGAATACTGCTTAGCTCGTGGCTTGTCCAAAGACTTGTTGATTTCACAAGCGTTCGAAATTTTCACTGACAACGCTCTTCATTGGTTCAGATTTAAATATAATCAGAATCCAAACTTAATTTGGAACGAACTTTCTTCCTTATTAATCAAAGACTTTGGTGGTTTTGATTATGATCATAAACTTCTAGAAGCGATTAGGAATCGAACTCAAGGTCGTGATGAACCTATCGTCATCTATATTTCCATCATGTCTGGAATGTTCTCTCGTCTTTCGAAGAAACTTTTTGAAACAGAACAATTGGAGATTATTTTGAGGAATATTCGCCCATGTTATTCAGTCTTCGTAGCTCTAAAAGACATTGACTCTATCGACTCTCTTCTGGCTACTTGCCAAATCTATGAAAAATTCCTAGACAGAGACAAACAATTTATAGAACCAAATGTACAACAAAGTCCTCTTATTTCTGAATTCAACTACAAGCATTCCATTTCAAGTTCAGTTGACTATCCAAATTCTTCTAATAACTCACGACCCTTCATGAATAAATTCACTTCATCCTACAAATACCCTTCTAGACAAATTAATAGTCTCTCTCAAACAAAAGCTCCTCAAGAAAGCTCTTTTTGTGTTCGCTGTCGTAAACAAGTTCATAATTTGAACACTTGTACTCAACCACGATTCGTGATTTGTTTCAAATGTGGTCTTAAGGGTTTTAAAACTGCAGATTGCCCTACTTGTTCTCCCAAACCTAATACTAGTTCAAAAAAACTAACTGCTGACTTGAAAAGTAACTTAAACTTTGATAATGACGATTGGACTAATTGGATTAAAACAATTCAAAACTTCTTTTCTTGTTACAAAATCTCTTCTACACTCTAATCCAAAGAACAAGATCTTAATAGTTCATTCGTTAATGTCAAAATTTATGACTTAACTTTATCTGGTTTACTAGATTCTGGCAGCTCAGTAACTATTCTGGGTAATAATTCTCATTTAGGAATTCTTAAACTGGGCTGCAAACTTCTCAAGTCAGATCTTATTACTGTCTCTACTGCTAATAATCAAAAAGTTAATTCCTTGGGTTATTTTGACTTACCTGTTCATTTCAATAATCAAACTCATTTAATTAAAGCTTACGTTTTCCCTGAAATATTTCCTTCGCTAATACTAGGTATTGACTTTTGGAGAAAATTTAATCTTTTACCTAGTGTTTTACGAGTATCTTCTCTTAACTTTACAGAATCTAAATGCTCTGCTATCGAAACTAAAGATACTAAAGTTTTACCTTATGAGCATTTAACTCCTAATCAAAAGAACATCGCTAATGACATCATCCAACGCTTCAAGACAATCTCTTTTGAAGAAAAAGGTATCCTGGGAAGCACACACTTAATCACCCACAAGATTGACACTGGTGATTCTCTTCCAATCAAACAAAGATGTTACAGACTGTCTCCTGAAAAACAAAAGGCGTTAATTAATGAAGTTGACAAGATGCTGGGATGGAACGTCATTGAACAATGCGAAAGTCCTTGGTTATCTCCAGTTCTCATCACTCCGAAGAAGAATGGTGAATGGCGTTTCTGCGTAGACAGCAGGAAGCTTAACTCAGTTACACGTCGTGATGCTTATAGTCTGCCACTAATAAGCGAAATTTTGGACAACTTGAGGAATGCCAAATACTTATTAAGCATCGATATTGCGAAAGCATTTTGGGAGGTTCCCTTGAATCCTGCTGATAAAGATAAAATTGCATTTTATGTACCTGGAAGAGGTATGTTTAGATTCAAGGTAATGCCTTTTGGTCTTTCTAACTCACCTGCAACTCTACAAAGATTAATGGATATGCTTTTTACTCCTGAATTTGAGAACAAGGTATTTTGCTATCTGGATGACATCGTTATTATTAGCGAGACGTTTGATGAACACATATCACTTCTCATGAAAGTTCATGAAAAACTTTCATTTACTAATCTGACTATTAACTTTGAGAAGAGTCAATTCTTCAGGAAAGAACTGAAATACCTTGGTTTTCTAGTGGACGAGTATGATCTACGTGCTGATCCAGATAAAATAAAAGCTATTTTAGAATATCCTGTACCTACTTGTAGAAAAGAAGTGCGAAGATTCATAGGCACCTGCAGCTGGTTCAGAAGATTCATTCCAAACTTTAGCACTATTGCCTCTCCACTCAACCAACTAACCTGTTCCGGGAGGAACGCTCCTAAATTTTTATGGAATTCACAAGCTGCAGCTGCTTTCCAGAAACTTAAAGAAGCTTTGGTAACTGCTCCTGTCCTTGCTTGCCCTAACTTCGAACTACCCTTCTCTGTACATTGTTATGCATCAAACTATGGCATAGGAGCAATGCTTACTCAACATCAAGATGACAAAGAAGTCGTGATTGCTTACATGAGTAAAGCACTAAATAAAAATCAACAGAACTACTCAACTACTGAAAGAGAAACATTGGCTGTAATAACTGCGTTAGAGCATTGGCGATGTTACCTAGACAATGGTAAAGAATTTACAATATATACTGACCATGCTGCACTTAAATGGTTTCAGAACTTATCGAATTCATCAGGAAGACTTGCTCGCTGGACTTTACGCTTATCATGCTTTAACTTTGTCCTGAAACATAAAAAAGGAAAGAATAAAGTTGTTCCAGATTTATTATCAAGACATAAGAATCAAGAACGTCCTGATACACGAGAAATTTCACCTCAAGGCGTACATCCTATTACGATTGAAGAACCACCTGATCGTAAACTTGAGCACTACAACAAGATTTTTCTCGGATGCTCCAACAACCCAGACGCATATCCTAACTACACTATCAGGGATAACAAACTTTACCGCTGCATCCATTCTCCCGATCGTCTAAACGATGACTTTATTTGGAAAGAAGTTCCACTACCTCAAGATAGACATGCACTTATTGAAGTTAACCATGGTTCCCCTTCAGAACTCCATCTTGGTATCTTCAAGACATTCAAGAAAATATCTTTAAAATACTATTGGCCTGGTATGTTTAAGGATATTGCCAATTTAATCTCGACTTGTGAAAACTGCTTAACCTACAAACACCCTAATCATTCTCCCTATGGTCTTATGGGTAAACCTAAACTTTGCTCCAGACCTTTTCAAACTATATCCTTAGATCTTATGGGTCCATTGCTTATGACTCGAAGACGAAATCAGTATATTCTAGTAATTAACTGCAATTTTACTAAATATACTATGATTTTTCCCCTTAAACGTGCTACTTCAGATAATATTATTAATGTTTTAGAAAATTCAGTTTTTCTAGTTCATGGCATTCCCCATTTTACTATTATAATGGACAACGCTGTTCAATTTCAGTCGCGAGAATTCCACTCATTCTTAAATTCTTATAACGTTCCTTTTATTTTTCACACAGCTTTATATTGTCCTCAGGTTAATCCTACGGAAAAGTTTAATAGTACAATTATTATAGCTCTAGCATCTCTAGTAGGAGACGATCATAGATCCTGGGACAACCATCTTACTAAGATTCAGTACGCAATGAACAGCGCTACAAATGTAGCTACTGGCTTTACTCCAAA